AAAAATGTCTGAGGACTTCAGTGTTGAGGAAGAGCATGAGTTCTTTGCCAAGCTAAATGCGTTCAGCATGGGGGTGAGTAGAAAATGAAGGCTAATCATGTTTTGGGTGTACTATTCCTTTAATGTTTGCTATTATTTGGCTAAATAGAAATTTAGATTTCAAGAATCGATTTGATCCTGATTCTGAAACTTTGAATCGATTCTTCTGATCTGGGGTCACGTTGGATTGCTGGTATTTTATAGTTTTACACCAGCAAATTATATAAATCAAATTATAGTAGTTAATGGTGATGAGAACTGATTAAAAATTGGAATATATATATATTTTAACAAAATTCTTATGTTAATACTAATTAAGAGCAGCAGAGGCTGGCAAAAAGTACACCTGAAGGTTGGAACAAGAGCAAACAAGTGTGAGTGTGCCCCCTATTGGCTGAAAGGAGTTACAGTAAATTTGTTGCTATTTCTTTTAAGAATGATTTAGATGAAAAATGATTTAAAATGGAGTATTTGCAAAATTGAAAAGAGATCACAGTTGCCTCCAATAAGAGAGAGGTTTGCAACCTGTGGCTCCATATAAAAATCTGCTCCATGGCTCCTTTGATAAATTAAAAGATTAGCTTCTGTTAGTGGTTGATTTTTTCCCCCTTCCACTATTAAAATCCTCTGGCCCCCTCCATGAACCTAATATGGTCTATAAGCACCTCTGAGAGAATCACTGCTGAGAAATAAACTCACACAGGTGTTCATTGCAGGTGACAGGCTGGTTATTATAATGAACCAAGTGTTTGGAACGTAAACAATGCTGAATAAGTTAGAGAAGTGACCTAAATAATCTTAGTGTAAAGGCTCCTGCTATATGAATTCAATTCAATTGAGTTTATTTCTATCGTGCCAATTCACATCATGACATCTCAGGTCACTTTACAGAGAAAATTCAACCAGATCATACAGTCAGATGGGTTCAAAGTTTTCTATCTAAGGAAAACCAGCTGAATGCATAGACTCATTGACTCGATGGCGATCCCTCACACCAAGCGGGCTTGAAGTGAATCTGAATAATAAATAATGGATAAATCTAACATTGGATGTAAACCATTCTTCTGTAGCTAAATGTATGATCTAGATGATAGAAAAGGTTGTTATCTTGCTTGGCTTGATGCAGGCTTAGCACCATGCATCATTCATCTTCTACAGATTATATAACCTGGAGGATGCCTACACAGTCATACATTCATTGTTTATTACCTGAGATTTAAAGTTTCACTCTGAAGAAAAGGAAGATTTTTAGACTAAATTAATTTATTTATGAGTTTGGGCAAAGGGGAAAATGTGGAAACCATCACCAGTCTCTCCTACAACTTAATAGCTTAAAATAAAAAAGTTTAAGTTGTTTTCGTCACAGTAAAATTAGGTTTCAAAATCTTCAGAATCAAAAACAATATTTGATTATGGTTTTATAAAATGCAGTGTTGTTTAGAGCCTTGTACTGTAGCTTCTTTAAATTGTTTTCATTTACGTTTGACCAAACAGTGAAGGACTGATGACTGGATCTGTGCGTATTCTGGCATTGGTAGCAAGTACAGCTAAAGGGATAGGGACCGTATGTAAGTGCTGGAATGGCCAGTCAAAGTCTGGACCTCCACCTGATTGAAATGGTGATTAAAGCTGAGAAGGAACAAATGTCTGAAAACCTCAACAAGCTGAAAAAAAATCTGAATTTCTCATTAACTGAGATGATTTTAATGTTAACGTGATGTCAGGTCTGATTCAGGTGTTCTCCTGTCAAACCCGTTCAGGGTTTCCTCATGTGCTCACCTGTCCCTCCACATGGTGGCGCACAAGGAACAGAATCAACCAACAGACTCAAACAATCTAATGAGACTACCAGTGACCAATGCAGCTATACTTTCAACTCTAAAAAAATTTCTTCTGGTCCTGATTTCTATGATATTTTTGCAAAAAAAAACAAAAAAAAAAACAGAACATTTTCCTTTGGCTGTTTTCAGTCTTTAGACACCAAGACATGATTACATCAAACATCCTTTAATAAGGTACAGAAGAATATTTGAGAAAAATGCAAAAACAGTTGAAATTATTTTGTCCAACATGCCTGAATACTATATGTTTCTTGAAGTTTTCCAACTATGAGAGTCTTTTACTTTTTAGTCCTTAAATAAAAAGAGAAACACCAGAACAAAAATAATCTAATATATCTATTTCTTCGTATCCTTTAGGTCTCATTGCTCCAGAGTTTGACTTGTCCTGCAGAACCTTGGATGATGCTGCGGATCATCTGGGCGTCTTCCTGCAGACCCGTGTTGTGAGGATCGATCTTCAGCGCCGCTTCATAGTCTTGTAGCCCTGAAAACAAGTTGTAGAGCCATCAGTTGCGGCTCACTGGCCCACGTTTCTTATTCAGTCTATCCTCCACACCTTGCCTTTAACTTGGTGAAGCACCAACTAAGCAGTGCTTTTAACAAGTTGTAGAAAAGAAATCAAAGTGGTTCTAGTTTCACTAGATTCAGCCTCCCTGACCCAATAAGTCGGGGAACCACATACTGTATCACTTGTGTTTGTTTCTTTGCTTTTTAAACTGTTTCTGCTCATTCCTCCTGGCATAATAACAGGCGTTCAGTCCGATTAGACTAATAACAGCAGCTACATGTCTCATCATAGATTCTCAGCAGGATTTAGTTTTGGACTTTGACTGGACCATTAAAACAACTAAGGATTATTTCTAAAACCATATCATTGTAGCTATGGTGGTTCAACGTTAGTTTCTTTATAGCGAGACAATTCAAAGTGCTGTATACTAGAAAAAGAAGATAATAAAGAACCTGGCTTTAATATGAATCTGGACCCAATCTTCTGGGTCTGTCCTCTCATTAAGAAACACTGGGAAGAAAAAGGCTATGTGTTGGCATCTCAAAAGTTACCATTAGTTTTAGGAACATCTTCAGAAACTACCTGACAAGGACCAGGGATACATACGACATATTCTCAAAGGAAACAGAAGTTATAGTCCTAAATTGGACCAGAGTATTTGAAAAATAATCTGTTTAGTCAGTCACTTCATTTGGATGGGATTAAACTAATCTCAGAAAGTAAAGTAAAAAATCTTGCTGTTATTTTTTTTTATCAAGACCTGCCATTTAAATCCTACATCAAAGAGGTTTCTAGAATTTCCTTCTTACATCTGTACAATACTGCAAAAATTAGAAATCTCCTGTCCAGGGGTGATGCTGAGAAACTAGTAAATGCATTTGTTACTTAAAGGCTGGACTATTATAAATATTTAATATCAGGAAGTCCACAAAATGTGGTTAAAAGCCTTCAGCTGATCCAAAATGCTGCAGCCAGAGTTCTGATGAAAATTAAAAAGAGAGATCTTATCTCTCCTATCCTGGCTTCTCTTCATTGGCTTCCTGTTAAATCCAGAATCTTTTTTATTTCCTTTTTGATAAAGCTTATAGATAGAGTAGCTCAGGTTATCCTGAGCTATCTCTTTAGTTATGCTGCTATAGCCTTAGCCTGCTGGAGGACATAGGGACCCCTTTTAACCATTCTGCTTCATTATATCACTATTCTCCCATTCTACATTTATCCAGAGCTGGAATGGGTTCATAGTCACCTTCTGACATGGGAATGTGCAGCTGGGTGTCATCTGCATCGCTATGGTAACTGATGTTGTTTATTAAGGTCTGAGTTAGGGGGAGCATGGAGATAATAGGAGGGGAGCTAAGATGGACCCTTTTGGGCCGTTGTCTTGCTGGAAAACCTTCCTGCAGGTTTCCATCATGCCTTCAGCTCCATCCATCCTCACATCAACTCAGCACGATACTTTCTCCACCATCCTCTGTTTTTTTTTTTTTTCAGAGTGATGTGGAGAGATGTTGGTGCCTAACTCCAGGTGGAAGCCTGAACAGGAAGCCCACCCATCAACAGACAATACAGAGACACAGGACAAACAGTCATGCAACCGCACACTCATATCTAAGGGCTTTTCATAGCGCCCAATCAACCTTGCAGTCGTGTTTGGACTGTGGAAGGAAGCCTGAGTATCTGGAGACATTCCATGCATCCACAGAGGCACCAGTGCTTCTAACAGCAGCTCACAATCTGTTAATCGCAGTTTTCCTAAATTTCAAATAGTTCAAGCAGTGAAAAGACTTGTTCCCTTTGAAACTGTTGAATCCTGATTAGAAAAGCAGACCTTCAGCGTAGAGCTCCAGCTGGCAGAAGGCGGTTCCTCGTCGGACGCTGGCCCGGACTCTGGCAGCAGCGTTGGCAGGGACTGCGGGGGTCAACAGATCCAGCGCCTGCAGACAGAGTTCAGGGTTAAATTTGACCAGTGCAGCCTGACATCATGGATGTCTCTGTGCGTTAAAGCTCAAATTTATGGAGTGATCTTTTTGTCGCTATTGTTGCAAACATGTTTTGAAATGTACTTTGAAAAATGTTTTAATCCAGAGAAGGTTTTGAGAGTAACTTGCAATCCCACAGATTTAGGTTTACCAATTTTTTCTGTATTTTTTACATTTAGTTTTCTTCAGATGTATTTATTTGTTCTTTTTTTTCAGATTGAGATTTACTAATTTCATTTTTTTCAAGTTGTGTTTTTACAGATCACATTCTCCTCACTTCTGGGGACGGGCTTTGATCTGGAGTGAGGAGAGAAGAGGCTTTTCTATTGGACTGCTGGATGTTAACATTTTTACTGGTCGGTGGGAGCATTTGGATTGGGCTTGGAGTGTAGAGAAT